AACCCACTGTAGTATACATATATGAGTTTGCGTATGCGTATGCGAATGTGGGAAAAGATACTTTTGTTTCTCTTTGGTTATATTATTGCGTTATCATAGAAGTAGCAGCGTAGACATGCGAACCCTTCTGTTTCTCAATAATAGTGTTGCAGTCCGTTCCAGCCCATTGCATATCATCTGGTGATGCAGTTTCTGTGAGTTAGTGCCGTGATAAAGTGGCCCGTTTTTTAGGATTTGGCAACAGAGGCACTATTCATTAATCAAAACTTCCGCCGTCAAGTGCTGAAGCGTAACGAACACCCATACGTCATGGCGCATCCACGTGCACCTTTCGAAGAAGAGGGTGGTGAATCAGGTTGTGGTTACCGGTGAGTGTTTGATATACTATATATATAGAGTTCATTAAGTACGAAATTGTGACCTATGCCACTTCTGAAGATCCGTTCTTTGAGGTGAAGGAAAATTCTGTTCGCTCTGTTTCCTGTAGGCATTAGATTGCCGAACACACTTAAGATTTCTTATTTCCTAAGGCACAGCAGAATTGAAAATAATAACATTTTCACGGATATTGTGACTTATAGACAATTTTTCTTGGTATTTCTTCGTTGAGTTGTACTGTTAAAGGTATCGTAAGTGGGTTCTTGGAAAGAATGCAAATGGTAAACCGATCGAAGTTGTATGCCGTACAGAGCATGATGGCGTCATGGTATGTTGTTTTTTTTTTGAAATCTGTAGTCTATTGGACAAATTATAGCGGTATTGAATATGTGTCATTTCAGGCCGGTCCGTCTGGAGATGTTCAGTTCCTGACGATAAAGTCATTTAATGAATGGGATAGCTCGCAGTCAGGGGGTGTAGACTGGAGGTAATACAGAATTAAGGTGTTTCGTTCTTCAGAAACAAATTTGTGTTTCTGTAGGATGTAAGATTTTCTTTTACAGAGTCAAGTTAGATGGACAGAAGGGAGCTGTTTTAGCGACGGAGATTAAGAACAATAGTTGCAAACTGGCAAAGTGGACAGTGCAGGTGAGAAGTTGTTAAGCAGCGTTCATTTCTGGCTGTGCCTTTTTTGTTATGACAGTTTTTTCAAAGTTTAGAGACCGGTTTAGGCTCTTTTGGCAAATTCGGACGCTATAAAGTTTGGCTACGTATCACGCGTGTCTGTACGTAACAGTGCTCAACATTTGATTTTGGGAACGCAGCAGTTACGTCCTGTTGAATTTGCTCAGAACATCTCTATGAATATGGACAATGGATGGGGAATATTGCGATGTGTGATTGACAGGTGAGTCGTGACCATTAGCTGATGTATAATAGTACGAGCGAAGTGGTGAATGATAGGGAAACTCATCGAACTGATTTGAGTCACTACTTCAGTCTTCCATAAGAGCTGACCCCGCCACCACAGGGCAAACGCGAAAAATAAAAATATGAGCCAGTTTTTTTTTCTAACGGGAAGTGGAAACATTCCTCGTTTGTCACTACTTCTGGAGTGCGCCATACGTTTAACTTCCAGTTTAAATGGTAGCAATTGAATGCGATTGGTCCACAGATGATTGGGGATAAACGATTAATGAAGAAGGCAGTGTTTTTATCCTCCCATACGAATAGACCCCAGAAGGATAGGAGGCTTGTTCGCTCTGAGCTAATTTGAGCAGGATCCTGGCCATGACCCTTTTCAAACCCTTGGTGTTCCAATATCTCACAAGCTTCATCGATCCTCCTCAAAAACGTGAGGTGTCGACATCTAGCGGTCGCTTTTAGTGATCGTCCGGCTCACTGTTCTCCATCGTGAGGAACCCCCTTTCCTTATTCTTGAAGCCATTGTTTTATAGGGTGTAGGTAATGGGTTTTTATTCGAAATTTCTATATGTATTCCGTTCTACTTCGTTCGCTCTGTGACCAGGCAAAGTGCTCAACGTCAAATCCCTATGCGTTATCGAAATTTTTAGCAGCAGTCTTACTCCTGAACTAAGCGTTGTGCTGAATGAGTTTGCTGTAAAAATCTAGCGTGAATGAAAAACTGCAAGGCGTCACAGTTACTTACTTCATCTCTCTCCGTTGGGTAATGAGGTGACCAACATTCTCTCACATTATCTTAGTGGGGGTGGGGGAGGGCAGTAGTCTAAGAAGTTGGTGCAAAAATCCCGCGTGGGTTACGTTGATCATGCTAGCAGTGGTGCCTCTGTTTCCTGAGTGATTCGCTTGACCTCTCTATAACTTATTCTCTCCAGTTCTTGACTTCTAAATGGAACATAAAGGTCGAAGTCGAGGAAACTCCCGGCGTTTGGTATTGTTAGTATTTCTTTGAAATGATTTTCAGGAAACTTTATTTGTTCAATATTTCGGTTTAAGAACAGCAAGCTGAAAAAGTATTGAGAACATACATTCTGCAAAAACAAGCTGCAAATAAGAAATTTCCGTTCTAACCATATCATTCTACACAATACAATGATTCTCAAAGTATTTGTGAATGTTTTTATTTCACTTTTCTTGCAGCTGCATGCGCCAACCGCAAGGCAAGTACCTACTGATGAAGGACCCTCAATCACCTGTGATAAGACTGTACTCTCTTCCTGAGGGAACATTCGAAAGCGAACAAGATTCCAGTGATGGGCAAGGAGGGGATTCCGACGATAACTAGTTTAAAAATGGAGGGTGGTTTTTTAATACTGAAACGTTGAGCTACAGTCTATACAGTGGCTGGGTTTTGTTGATTTATTGAGAATTGTTAAGAAAATATAAACCTTTTTTCGTTATGTCGCTCTTTTGTTCACACACATCTATGGCCCTTCTAGGACTAAACAACTTTTATTCTTATTTTATGCACAAAAATATTTAGTTTAACACAATTAAGGCAGTAACAAGAACGATGACGATAGAGGAGGCATGAGAGGATGAATCGTCGACTTCTTGAAGATAGGGTGGTGCCATCGTTGCCGCAGTGGCCGTTGTCGATGACGCTGGTGTGGGGGAGTTTCGAGGCAACGCCGTGCTTTGCTGATGGTGATGGGCTGGTTCACCTGAGCGAAGTCGTTCTTGTTTTTAGTTGTGGGAAATATTGAAGATTGCTGAAGGCCTCGAAGCTTTACTGGGTACTGTCTGCTGGTGAAGCTCAGAGGTATAATGTGGAAAGGCAGATAGAAGGAGATCCATGGAACCTCTACAGATCGTTAGCTGTGCCACGGTCAAACAGTGCGATTATGTGCAGTTGAGCCCATCATAACTTATATAGATCTAATGGGCTATAACCGACAACTACTTCAATATGGTGCAGTGAACTCACCGGCTGCAATATTGACACCGAATGCTGCGTCACCAGGCTTTGGCAACTTCACTGGTGTCGTGAAATCAATCGGATGAACTCCGCGATTCTTGCCTTGAAAATGTTTTTTGATCAAGCACAATTGATCCTTTCATCTCCCATTTGAATTAATCTTCAAGCAAATTTCGCTCACTTCCGTGATATTTGAGAATATCGTCCATGTAGAAAGGAACTTTGGAATTAGAGGCTTCGAGAGCCGACGGAGCACCGTGAGCGTAAGCACCTTGGTCCTGACCTTTGGCCCACACAACGAACATTCGTCCGGGACCCAACGGATGATCAGTGGGTTCGATCTCTGTAAGTAGCTTTAGTAACACTTTTTCTGTGATTGAAGGTCATTTAACACATTCACGCCGATGGCCGCCCATATGGGCTGCCAACAACATGTGCTCCTGGGACGATGGCAGCCCATATGGGCTGCCAGCTGATAATCGCTTGCCAGGCGCTAGGAATGGACAGATAGGTGGGTAAACCTCGTAATCGAGTGAAAATGCTTTTAAAATCGTTTAAAAGGTAAAAAAAAAGCGAGAGGTGCGGGTTCTAGTCCCGCCTGGGGCGAAAGTTTTGTTCACAACCCAGCATTCTTGTGAAACTTTTAAAATCCTTCACGGGGAAGCGAATAAATGCTCTCTTTTCGTAACCACTATTTGTCGTTCTGATCGAAATCCTACTGTTATATGTTTAGATAATCTTTACGCATTGGACATTGCAGAAATTATTTTGTGACATTCATGTTTTTGTTCATTTACAAAACAAAATCTGCGGTTATGTGGTGAGGCGGCGGCGCCCACAAAATCGCGTCCGTCCCACGCGACCGAAAAGTGGAAAAGGGGCGTCGTCGTGAATGTGTTAAGATTTTAGGCGGTCATTGAAAGCGAGAATATAGCAGATCTCTCTGTGCGAACTGACGAGCGAAAAATTCAAAAACTTTCTTAAGGACGCTTGCAAGGCTGTCATCTCCTGATGGTTGGCTGGAGCAAGAGAAGAAGGCGGAGTCAGTCAAGGCGCCCACTCTCGAAGTACAGTGCGTAGCGCGCTGCCGCAAGTGTATTGGCCCCGAAGCGGGTGAGTGTGTTCCTTATTCAGCATATTTTAACAGCTATGCCATCTTTTTCGTATAGAGTCCCCATGAAGCCATCATGGGCCCATGGTTTTGGCGACGATGCATGTGGCTGCGAGACTGAGTTAACGTGAAGAATGGGATTTGAGGGCTGATTTAAAAGTGCGGGTGATTTATAGGAGCTGACTACTTAAATACCGCGCGGCTACAAGGCGGAAGGACTACTGCTAAGATCTGTATCAGCATATAAAACCCAAAGTGATCGCAGTTTTTCTAGAATTAATGAATCGAACATACTCTTCCTCCAATATACGCGGAACTATTTCTAAACCTTACGTTCGAGCGTCCTGAACAATAACTCAATCGTTCGTCCGTCCAACTGCTCCCTCCCCGACTGTTGCCCAACAGAATGACCATTTCACCCTTCGTACGCTAAAAGATTCAGTTAATGCTGTAGATCAACACGACATCTTGACTATAAAGTATTGAACGATTTTGAAGGCAAGGGCAACGCTTTGCGATATCGGTCTATGATTTGATGAAATCGATGTAAAGGTGGTAGTGTGCTAACTCGCCGAAGGTAAAAGAAATAAGGTTTTAAGAACCTAGGAAAGTTACTTTGGTTCACGCCAGGAGTGAAAGGTAACAGGAAAAGGTTTCTAGAACCTAGAAGTTACCTTTGGTTTAGGGAGGTACGTATCAACGCAAAACAGGCCATTCGGATGAACTTATAGGTGTGGGTCAGGATCAAATTGATGTGGGCATCCCATTCAAATGTAAAAGGAAGGATGCGATGTGGACCGCAATTGGAGAGAAAACAAAAGTTATGGTAAGAAATATAGAAAATCGAATTCCCTCTATCTACACAGAGAGTGTAACCGAGCAGAATTGCGTCCCGGTGAGCGGGCGCGGTTCATTGTGGGAAGGATTTAGCCCTGAGCCCCTGGTGTCTTAGTAACGCTCTTGGCTGCTTGAGAGAAATGCTACTGCTGTAGCAATGGACCTAGCATCTGTCTAGGCAAACCGGAGTTGTGGGCGCTGGAGAGCTATGATCCATTACTTCATCACACCGCTTATAGTACTGATCGGGCCGCCACCTACCGCCTGCTTGGCTCAATCTAAGCTCTCCACTGTGCTTCTTTACCTTTCATAAGTGGTGGATCTGTCGCGGCCAATGCCTTCATGTTTTTTGAGTATCAAGAGAAATACCTTTTCATAAGGAAGCAAACGTTTATTAGCTAATAAATTTTCCGACTGTGATAGATACTTCATTCTCTGAAGAGTAAAAGTTCTTCCCTCAAGAGTCAAGAGATCAGTACTGCGTTGACGACTTTTGTTGCACTGGATGGGCTTGTGGATCATAGACAGATGAGTAGCTGGTTGTAACAAATGGACACAAAATGAGATTCGGAAATTCTGTTCTTCTTGCTTTCTACTAGGTGGGAATGTCCAGCCGGCAAACTCAAAGTCGTTTTTCCACGGAAAGAATCGAACCATTGTTAGCAAACAGTTTATGATTTTCCCACTGACAATACACCGCGAGTTCCAAAAGTCTACGCAATTGTCACTGTGAGCTACCGTCGGCATTCGACCAATACTACGGTTTTTAGTTGGATACGTGCACGGAGCTATTGAAGCGGACAGTTTACAGATGTGGACATACATGTGATCCTCGAGAGGTGTAGATCGATCTCTGGAATAGGAGTCCTGCACCCGAGTACGTCCATCGCGCACTGCACCGATCAGCACGTCAATACAGTCCATTGCGTGAAGTGGTGCGTGCAGCGCCGAATCTACTGAAATTGGAAAACATAGCTCAAGAAATGTGCTTATCCTTTCTAGGTAACCAGTTCTAACACCGAGAATCCATGAGTTTTTCATCAAAAGGTGATAGGTGCGTCGATTGGGACAAACTGAGCCTTTCGGAGTCTGTCCGACTAGCTTAAAGGCGGAGCCTTGTTACCCATTAAAGGCAGCCAGGTAGTTCTCCCATTCTAAAAGAGACGCTACTAGACACGTTCTGCGAACACGCGGCGGTGAAAGTACGACTCACCAGGAAGGTCTTTCGGGGGTGCCAAGCTTTTTGAAAACGGTCTTTTGCATGATATAGGGGCACATGCGGGAACCACAGAACCATGGTTAATTTTTCCTGAACGGCCCTCTGAATACCAGAAAAGGGGGTCCCTAGTTCGATTCCTCGTGGTGACAAATTTTTGCATTTCGAGTTGACGTGGTTACTGACGGTCCTAATTATGAATTTTCTAGTTCATGCTAACTCCATTTTGCGCGAATTTTGAAACGTCAACTCGAAATGCAAAAATTTGTCACCACGAGGAATCGAACTAGGGACCCCTTTTCTGGTATTCAGAGGGCCGTTCAGGAAAAAATTAACCATGGTTCTGTGGTTCCCGCATCTGCCCCTATATCATGCAAAAGACCGTTTTCAAAAAGCTTGGCACGCCCTGAAAGGCTTTCTGGTCAGTAAAGTGTAATTCAAGTGAAATATAGCTGAGCTTTTTGGTCTTCTTACTAAGCAATGAGTTTTTATATAGCGACTTGCGAGATACTTTGGAAGGAAGCTTTCATAAGAGGTGCAAAACAGTAGACATTTGATTAGGCGAGGCTTCCAGTGAGGGTTCGTACATATTGCATGGCATTTCTAACTGTAAAAAAATTGGCCAAAAAAATAGGAACTCACGTAATCCGTTGTTGCGAGGCATGATGGGCCGCGGTCCTTCCTGAGCGACTTTTGTTGGCGGATGGTCACGATCGAAAGCAGTCTCACTTGTTTGAGGTTGAGGTAGAAGTGGTGCTTGGTCCTTCTATAATAACTTGCTTGATCAGGCTCACTATTAGCATTTGATAATAACTGATTGTGGAATATCTAATGGACTAGGACGCGTAGACCTGAGATGCATTTCTTTGGCAGTAATGGTATTCAGTTGCTAATAATGCTCTTGCGCTACTCTAACTCCAAATTTAAGTGTACATATCTCAGCTCAAACAGTGCCTCACTAATTAATGAGAACTATTACAGCTACTGGGCGGAAGTGGTATAGTGGCAAGTGGCACGCTACCACGCGAGCGGTCCGGGATCAAATCCTGGGTCGTGAGTCGCCCGGGCCAACCAAGCCTTCCATCCCTCCGGGGTCGGTTAATTGGTACCAGACTTGTCTGGGAGGATAAAAACACTGACTTGTACATCGGCTGGCCCCGCAAGTCATTGTATAGGCCACATCGCATTCAAACGCCACTACGAATGTACAAATGGAAGTAGAATGCGTGCCGCATCCCAAAAAGGGATTGATCAACGGCAAATGCTTTATCCTTGTTGCGTTTATTACAGCTACTGTGCTTTTCCACCAAGAAACTCATTTTCTTTCACAGGTTTTCTAGAATCTGTGTTTTGAAAGCAATTTGATAATTTCTCTTCGAAGGAATGGATCAAGGTCGAATTGAGGTATATTGACGCTTGAAAGTGAGTGTAGAGCTGCGAAATGGGACGCCAGTGAAAAAATAGCAAAAAGCCGTCAGGTTGGAAGTGAAATTCCTCTCCAACAGCAGCATGGGAGATTGGCTTAAAGGAGGATTTTACGATTAGAATGGAGGTCGAGGAAGAAGTAATTCACCTAGTTGAGGGACCCACGGACCTCCTGAGGGTGCGAACTGACGCGCAATTCGCATCGAAAAATTTGACCTCGGCGACCTATCATGCCTCAAAGTTGGCGGGTCTGGCGATCTCCGCCCACCGACCAGCTGATCACTCGCCGCAGTTCAATACGTGGCGAGTGATTAGATAGCTGAGAGAGCGTAGTGTTGAAGAGGGCACAGCGATGAGAGTCGCATCAATGCTCAAATCAACGGGGAAGGAAGGGTCCCATTTCTCGGGTTCTGGGCCGTTTCTCATGGTTCTTCCTTCTTTCGTGTACCACTCACCATCCCTAGGTTAATTTGAAATGGGTTGCTTTTCCAGCGTGAATTCGTCCTTTAAAGGAAGGCATTACGACGAATTTTCCGGACTTGCCAGTCTGCTGAGGCAGCCACGCATCCCCCCCCCCCCTTCCTCCGGTGAACGGTCATAAACAATGGCCAGCGACCATCACTCAAAATATCAGCAGAAGCGTTATTGCTAGTCGTTACGAGTCTAGAGCGGACGTCACCCCTCTGGTTCTATTTTCAGCCCCGCAAGTGATTGGTAGAGTTTCTTCTAGCCCTATCCCGAACAGTGCCTCTAAAGAGCGAAGGTCTTGTTGACCCTAGAAGAACTGGTTCACAATAGGTGGTTGTGAGGTGATTATAGGTAGTTACAGAAACTGTTTCATACCTATTTTGCAGATTTGGGCGCCATGGGTGGCCTGGCCGTTTTATGGCGGAATTAACAGTTTTACGTCCGAGCCATCGCAAGATACGGGAGAATTGCTGTGAAATCGCGCAAAACATCTTCTTTTGCTGAAACGGGTATCAGCCCCAAGCAGGAAAAAAGACTTGAGGGTGCGTGAGCAATTTGCATTTTCACCTAATTTCCTGCATGGTTCGGGAGTCACAACCAAAGTATGTAGTCCAGGCCAATCGAGCCGTCCATACCTGTCGTGTATCTTAGTGGGCCCCCATGAGTCATCGTAACATGTATCTTTCAAATGACGTTACAAAAATTTGTGGGCGCACCCCTAAAGAGATTAGATCGACACAGAGTGTTTTATCCTTTAACTTCTTTTTTGCTAACACATGAAGGTTTGCCCGGATTCGTGGAATCTATCAGTTCATATGAAATTCGCTCAACCGTTTTAATTTTCTTCTTGCACACTTCGGATTTGAAAGATATTTCATAGCTTGGCGTGGTTCCAATCCCTAATCGGAACTCTGTCAAGCTTCACAAAGAATCCGCTCTACATCCACATCACAATTTGGTCGAGAAACGAATTGCTTTTTGCACAGAAAAGGTCGGACTACCCTTCTCACAACAATTTCTTGCGGCAATTTACTGATTAACTTTTTCTTAATTTTGCCACCCCCTCCCCCCGTCCTCCTTCCTGCCCCAAACAGCTACATAGAGGCCGCACATGAATTGAGAATCAGCATCAAGCTGCTGAACTGTTCTAGGCGGATGTACTTGACTAAAGCTCTTAGCTTTCGATATCCACCCATTTCTCACACTACTTTCGAGGCTGCCATCGCTATTAAGATATGCACCATTGCGCCCCACTTCATTATTAGTCCAAAAGGACCAAAGGTTTGCCTAAATCGCGAGCTGCGTGCGGCTAGCAGCGAGCTGCGCGCGGCTTTTCGAACTAGTTTTAAAAGGAAGCAGAATAAGGAGGTTTGAATACGTATGGTGTACATGTAGAGCTTGAAAATTCTGATAAAAAAGAATGAAAACATTTAAAACTCTCCAGTTTTCTGAAGAGGCATGTTTTGAAATAGTTATTATTTGAAATGAGAGGTGCACTCGAATGAGTTCAACAAAAACTAAACAAAAGCTAGAAAGTAGGGTATCAAATCTTTGAACGCCTAAACTCAAAGGATGTTCAATCAGGTGTGTGAAATGCGGTAACTTAATACACTAATTACTCTTAACAGGATGCCACCTACGGTACATAATGAAATCTGATATTCTCAAGTTTTCACGAACTGACCTGAGGTAACTGATGCGACGACGTTGGCACGATCAACGGTGGCATCTCCACATCAGCTGATCGTTTGCTACGCACACCTGTAGAATTGCCTAGAAGTTCATGGCTATCGAGGGAACCACGGGAATCTGTCAAAGTTCAGAGACACAGATTGTGGCTTTTTTTTTTCTTTTTTTTCTTTCTCGTAGAGAGAGAAGTCAAAGAAATCCACTTTATACAGAGTGAAAATCCTAGATGCAGACTTCATGGAGAACGTTCAGGGGGCACGATAGAATGAAGGTCGAAGGAAGGGAAACTGACCTAGTTTGAGGGACCCACGGACCTCCTGAGGGTGCGAACTGACGCGCAATTCGCATGGAAAAATTTGACCTCGGCGACCTATCATGCCTCAAAGCTGGCGGGTCCGGCGATCTCCGCCCACCGATCATCTGATCACTCGCCGTAGTTCAATACGTGGCGAGTGATTAGATAGCTGAGAGAGCGTAGTGTTGAAGAGGGCACAGCGATGAGAGTCGCATCAATGCTCGAATCAACGGGCAAGGAAGGGGTCCCATTTCTCGGGTTCTGGGCCGTTTCTCATGGTTCTTCCTTCTTTCGTGTACCACTCACCATCCCTAGGTTAATTTGAAATGGGTTGCTTTTTCATCGTGAAATTCGCTTTAAGAAAGCTAATTCGAGAGGTTCAGGAATTTTCCACTATTACGCATGCGTATACGCTAACAAAGAATTGCTTATAGAAATTGTCCGCTCTCTGTGACTAATCGTGACGTTTTTATATTCATCGTGAACTGACTGGAATACACTTGCAAAGTGGGAGATTCACAGACGAAAAAGTAACCAAACCGGTAACTAACCCGAAGTCTATGCTTCCTGGAAGAAGTCAACTAGTAATGTACACTGCACTTATTCACGACCTCTTCCTAATATTCCACTATTCACTGCTTCAGAAAATCGTATCGGTCCCTTTTTAATTCTTTTTTTTGACTGGCCGTTAAACACTAGCAATTTCTTCTCTTCTAAAATTTGAAACCAGATCTTCTGAGTTGCCGTGTTCACATCATACATGCCATTCGGAAGCACTTCTTCTGCCCTTTTACATTCATGTTTCCTTGCCATACGTTTTATTTCTTGTAGAACTTTGGGCTTTCGTAGTAGGGCGCTCATTCAATGAGAATGACGATATTATTAAAAAAAACTATAAATGAAGCAAAATCAATAAGTGATGTGCTCCGTGTTTAGGTACGACCGATTTCAAAGATTCCGTTAATTTTTGAGTGCGTCGGCGGTGAAAACCTGCGGGTTTAGATTCGACGAGTTCTGGCTGGATAGGCAAACTTGAATAAAGAAGGACACGAGTTGCTGGACAGTCCAGTAGGGGAATTTTGAGCAAGTTGTAGCTACGTGAATGGTATCTCACTGATTGATTACTTCCAAAAAAACAAAGGTTAAAAAATTGACAATTTTTTTCCTAATTTTTTCTCTACTATAGATCCTGTCATGCAAGCCTGTTATTCATTTAGTTCAGAGTGTATATGGCAAGAGATACAATAAATGTTATAGAACGGGAAATCACATCTGAATGACATGCAGGGGAGGCCAAAAAAAGACATTTTGCCCATGTCGCACTTCGGCCTTTTTTCTTCGCAGAGATTGCCGTCGTTGACGGAAGTTCCTCAGCAAAATATTCCCTAAATGTCCCTCTATAAGTAACGCAGGCCCTCCTTCACTGCCCTCACCGTCTTCAGAATATGACGTCATCGTCGTCAAGCTCAAGGAGGCCTACCGTAACTGCTTCAGCCTGAAGCTCTTACATAATTTCGTGAATCGAATGTTGGATAGTTTCCTAGAGACATTAGCTCCCACTGT